AGACCTTCAACTTAATACTCCAAAGTAGATAAGCTAAGTACGATACTTCAAACCAAAGGCTGAAAACACCCTGCGAAACCTTGATGCTTAAAACCTGATACTTCCAATTCCGGCAATAAAACCCTATACGCCTAAGTCATCATTGTTACTGAAATCAGAAGGGCTACAGGAATAGGTTTGAAATGTCGAAAGCTGCTTGGTCCTTGAATGTTAAAAGTATAATATCAGGTTTTTATGAGAAGCTTAGATAATCAGGTTCTGGTAGATGGTTTTGAGGAGTATCAGACGGTTCATATTTTATAAATTAAAAATGTAGAAGTGTCAAGGTATAAGTATCAGTGTTTGAGATATCATATTCTGAGAAAAGGTTTGTAGAATCAGGTTGTAGTAGAAGGTTTGAGGTATTAGGTTTGAAGTATCGGAATGTTCTTGAGTTATCAATTGAAAATACTGAAGGGTCATGTTTGAAGCATCAAGTCGAATGTATCGGGTTTAAAATATCAGGTTTTAAAGAAAGGAATTAGGTTTTAGTATAAGGTTTGAGGTATTAGGGTTAAAAAATCAGAAGGTTCTCGAGATATAAACTGAAAATGTTGAAGTGTCTAGTTTGAAGCATAAAGTCTAATGTATCGGGTTTGAAATGAGAGGTTTTGAAGAAAGGTTGATAGAATCAGATTGCAGTAGAAGGTATGAGGTTTAAAGTATCAGAAGGTTCTTGCGATATAAATACAAAATATGAAAGTGTAAAGTCTAAAGCATCAAGCCGAATCTCTTGGGATTTGAAGAATCAGGTTTTGGAAAAAGGTTTATAGAATCAGATCTTAGTAGCGAATCTGGTGCATTAGGTTTGCAGTACCTATCGAAGGATTCCTAGATTATGAATTGAAAATACTGGTGTCAGGTGTGAAGCATCAAATGTAACGAATCGGATTTGAAATAATGTCAGGTTTTGAAGGCTTATTGAATCAGGTTGTAGTAGAAGGTTTGAGGTGTTTGGTTTTAACTATCAGAAGGTGGTTAGGTCATAAATTGAAAATTTTGAAGTGAAGCATCAAGTCAAATGTATCGGGTTTCAAATGGGATATTTTAAAGAAAGGTTTATAGAACCAGGTTTCAGTAGAACGGTTGAGATTTGACGTATCAGAAAGATTCTTAGTTATAAACTAAAAATATGGAGGTGACAAATTTGAAGCATCAGGTCTAATTTATCATGTTTGCAATGACAGGTTTTGAAGAAAGGTATATGGAATCAGGTTGTACTAGAGGGTTTGAGGTTTAGGTTTTAAGTTTAGGTTTCAGAAACATCAAGTTGAAAATATTGAAGTAACAAGTTTGAAGCATCAAGTCCAATGTATCGGGTTTAAAGTGCCAAGGTTTGACGAAGGGTTTGTAGAATCAGAAGGTTTGAGGTCTTAGGTTTTAAGTATCAGAAGGTTCTTTGGTCATAATTTGAAAGTATTGGTGTGCCAAGTTTGAAGCAACAGGTCAATTGTATGTGGTTTGAAATGTCAGGATCTGAAAAAAGGTTTATAAACTGAGGTTGTAGTAGAAGGATTGAGGTATTAGGCTGTAGGTTTCAGAAACATCTCGGATTACAAGTTAAAATATTGAAGTAAAAAGTTTGAAGCATCAAGTCCAATGTATCGGGTTTAAAGTGACAAGTTTTGAAAAAGGGTTTGTAGAATCAGAAGGTTTGAGGTATTAGGTTTGAAGAATCAGGTTGTGATAGAAGTTTGGCGTATTAACTAGGTTTGCAGTATGGATAAATTCTTGGGTCATGTACAGTGCCAATCATCCCCCCCCCCCCACTCCCCTCCCTCTTATTCGCCATTTATTTCCACTTTCAATCAAGGTTTCCTCCGCCACTTTTACATCTCTGTCGCCCCTACATCTGCCTCACTCCTTCCTTATGCCTCATTCATGTGTTCTTCACGTTTCCTCTAAGTATCGTTCGCAAATCTGGAATATGAAAAATCCCGCCTGGCCCTCAGGCAGCTTCAAGAATAGAAGGGAACCCGGGCACTGCAGAGAAGACGATGATAAATAAGGGCGGATGAGAAAACGAAGGAAGTAAACGTGGTCCGCGAGGAGGATGAAAGGAGAAAAGGCCAAATAGCAAATAATATCGAAAATAGTTGTAAGCATCAACCATAAAGAAGAAGAAAAGTAATGACAATAATATAGAGGGGAAACTGCAGGAAGATGAAAAGAAGGGCGAGGAAGGATAAATGGAGAGCAGGGAAGATTTAATGCAGGTGGGCGAAAATGACGTGCTTCTAACACAGACTGAGTGTTTAAATCTGTGCTCCTAATACAGAATTTTCTTGGGAAAATAGTCCTATCAGTATCACATAAATTCGTAACTGGTCATATACCGATATAGTCAATCATTTATCTTTAAAAATCTTCTAAAGTTGATCATGTATCGATACATACTTTTTAACCTAACATCTTATGTTCTCCTGATAAAGAATTTCTTTCTAAAAATAGGAGTATCAAGATCACAACAATATATCATTTACCCCAAGACACCCTAATCGAGCTCCTAGTGAGTTCATGATCTTGGACTTTCCGCCCGTCCGTCTGTGGACAAGATAACTCCCGAACGGTTTCAAATTTTCCAATTCTGTTTTCTGTATTTTGTTTACCATCACCCAAGGAAGAACTGATTAAATGTTCAGTGACCCAGGAGCTTGTTACAAGTTTATTATGTTCTCCTGATAGAAAACATACCAAAAAACTAATAAATGATCATATTTCTATAGACGTCTTCTAACCTACTACGTTGTTCTACTACAGAATTTCTTTTTAGAAATATTTGTATCAGGCCCACTGAAATAAATACCTAATATATCCGTGGATACCTTCTCACTTTCTCCTGATAGAAAATATTCTCCCAAAAAAACTATACGGGATCATAGAAATTAATTATGTATCGAATTAGACCCTGAAAGATATCATACTCTCCTAATATAGAAGTATCAAAATTAGACAAATTAATCCGTAGACACCTGACATATAATGTTCCCTATAAAAATGATTTCGGAGCATAGAAATTAATTATACTTGATTAGATACTTTCTAACCCAGTATGTCCTCCTGATACAGAATTTGCTTCTAAAAATGGCAGTATCAGAATCACAGAAATTGATAATTTCTCCGTAGACACCTCCGAGCCTATCATTTCCCGTGATGGTGGAAGTAGCGTTTCCTTAAATACTGAAATCAAATTAGAACTATGCTGCAACGGTTAAAGAATAGACCATTTCAGCCAAGGCTGCTCTACGACCACAACCCACTATACGTTTACAAATAATATCCATCATGCTCGAACCCGGATTCGAACCAGGGACCCTTAGCACCACAGCTCAGCTTTTACTGAACTTCGCCACACAGGTCGGGTATGAACCTTCTAACCTATTATGTTCTCCTGATAGAAATTGTTATCGCAAAAAATGATATCGGATGATGGTAAATGATCATGAGCCGTTACGTTCTCTTGGTACAAAATTGTAGAATCAGAATGAAAATACCAAAGAGTCATGTTTAAAGCATCAAAAGTAATGCATCTGGTTTGTAATGTCAGGTTTTGAAGAAAGGTATAGAGAATCAGGTTGTAGTAAAAGGTTTCAGCTATTAGGTTTGAAGAATTTTGAAGGTTCTATGATTATAAATTCAAAGTATTGGGGTGATCCTGTTTCAAACTTCAGGTTTTTAGGAAACGTTTAGGTAATTAGGTTTTAGTATTAGGGTTTCGGATATTAGGTTTGAGGAATCAGATGGTTCTTGAGAATTAAAAATATCGAAGTGTCATATTTGAAGCATCAACACTAATGTATCGGGTTTGAATGATAAGGTTTTGAAGAAAGTTTTATAGAATCAAATTGTGGGAGAAGGTTTGAAGTATCAGAAGATTCTTGGGTCAATAATTGAAGTGTCAAGTTAGAAGCATCAAGTCTAATCTGTACGGTTTGACATATCGGGGTTTTTATGGAAGGTTTAGGTAATTAGGTTGTAGTAGAAAGTTTGGGGTATGTCTGAAGTATCAGAATGTTCTAAGGTTAATAAGTGGAGTGTCAAATTTGGAGCATCAAGTTCCATGTATCGGGTTTGGGGTTTTAAGAATCCGCTTATTAGTATCCGATGTAAATACCAGGTTTTACCACAAGATTCTAAACACCCAAAATATCGAGTTGATGCTTCGCAATTTTGGGCTATGTACTATTTCGGTGCTCTGACTTTGCGGTTCATACTCGATGCTACATTTCGTGTACGTCATCGCAATACTTGGTGATGCTTTTTTACTTGATGCTCCAGATCGGGACCCTTCATCATAGTGATGCATGTTTTGATACTTCACGCATAATGATTAATGTTGATGATTCGTGCTTGATGCAACATTCTTGATGCTATTCTGAGTGCTAATCCATAGTTGTCATTTAATGCTACTTGGCAACTAACGCAGGACACTTAACACCTTTGTTCTCTCTTTCTTGACACTTGATGCTATTTATGATAATCCTTCACACTTGACACTTTACACTTGATGCTGCTTAATACTTGACGCTTGATGCTTGGATGTAAATGATTAACATTCGGCATTAGCCACTTTATACTTGATGCTGCTTGATGCAGGTTGTTTACCTAGCGCATTATCATGCAGCGATGTATCAATGATAAATTCAGGTGGAAATGGTTTGTAGGTGTCGCGTGTAAAGGGCAAAAAAGGCGGGTTTCAGTGACAAAAATCGCAGGTTTGTGGTGAAATTTATCTGCGGAACTTTAAAAGGACAACGTAAAATTGTGCTGCTATTTTTATACACAAGCGTATTAATCTAATCCGCCTACAAGAAAAAAGGGCTGGCAAGAAACGGATTTTTGGAAGGAAAATTATTGTGATGAATATATCAAAGATGTTTTGTGCCCTTACTCCGTTCATCATTTTCAGGTTGCCATCCACGAAGATTCGCCCCGTTTTGACACGCCTTTATTGGCCCTACCGAGCCGGATCGTAAAAGTAGACCCATTCTTTCATCTTTACGACACGAAACTGCCTAATTTCGGTCACGGTTAATTGCGACGCCTTCCTACCGGTTTCGGGCACGTCGACAGTTTGACGCGATATCGATCGATCGGGATGCCACAGAAAGTCATCTCGCATCGAATTATTTGCATAGCTCGCATACATCGCGAAACATCCCGTCCATTCAATACGGTGGGGTATTACAATCGAAAACCTCGAGAAGGCGCGCGGGCGGAGAAAGAGGGGGGGGGGGGGGTTATAAATTCGCAAATTTCACGTTACAAAATGGGCGTAATGAACGATTGTTCTCGGACAAAGCGGGCGAACTTCGGCAAAAATTCACTTCAAATAGGAAATGTGCGTTAATTTACGCCGCCTTAATTCGCCCCATTGTACCAAAGTTTTGTGTAAACAGGAAAGTTTATTTTGGGGTAAAATTGTAAAAATTGGCTGTTTGCATTATTCAAACGGGGGTGTTTGAGCGAGTGCGAAAAGTACTTTAAGCCCCGCACGTATACTTAGATATCGCGAACCACGCCGGCTCGGCTATGCCGAACGATTTAATTAACCGAAAAGCAGTAGATTTCCAAACCAATAACTCAAAAAAAAATTCAAACGAACATAAATTTGCAACAGAATGAATTTCGAAATTTCTCCGTTCTACATTCGCAATGATTGATTGCGCTTTTTTTTCTCTTGCCGTTGTTCACTAAATATTTATACAAAAAACTTCCTCTCGGATTTGTAGCTCAATAAAAGAAAGCTAAAGTTCTCGGTCTCATAAAAAACTTTTATGTCTTTATATTATGTTTACTTTAACATTATTACATTCTTGCTACTTTGTAGATACCGTTCGTCGCGGTTTTAAGAAGGGGGAGGGGGGGAAGGGGCCTGAAAGTAAATATGGCGTGATATAGTGATCTAAAAATGACGAAACTAAGCGATGCCGGGAATTTATGGCCGTATACAGAGAAATTAGTTTGTGTCGGACCCTTGTGTCTTATTCACCTACTTTTTTGCAACCCGTGGAGGACGATTCCCTTCCAATCAGGCTAATAACTCCCTTCTACCCCAATGCCCCTTTCAGTTTGAATCGTTTGGATGAACCGTGACATAGCCGAATTCTGTTGTTACGGCAAACTTATGAGACTCCATTCATAGAGAAGCCCAACCCCCTTCCCTTCGCAACTAAGTTCACAGCCCCATTGACAACCAAAAGCACTCCAACATGCCTATCGTGCATATGCTCAATTTCCCCTTTCTAGATCAGCTGGGAACCTATGAGGACTCCCAAATATTTCACTGACCTGTCTAGACCCAGTTTACGTCTTCGGAAAGAGATCCATTCTCCTTCTATCAGTAAATGGAACAACCACGGTCTTTTCCGGGTTAACGCACATTATATTCTCCTGATACACGATTTCTGAACTAACCTAACTAGCACTCTAACCTAACCTCACTAATATTTTATCCTAACCTTCAATCTCCTCGCACAGCATATTCTCCTGATACAAGATTTCTGACCTAACCTAACTAGCACTCTAACCTAATCTCACTAATATTTTATCCTAACCTTCAATCTCCTCGCACAGCATATTCTCCTGATACAAGATTTCTGACCTACCCTAACTAGCACTCTAACCTAATCTCACTAATATTTTATCCTAACTTTCAATCTCCTCGCACAGCATATTCTCCTGATACAAGATTTCTTACCTAACCTAACTAGCACCCTAACCTAACCTCACTAATATTTTATCCTAACTTCAATCTCCACGCACATTATATTCTCCTGATACAAGATTTCTGACCTAACCTAACTATCACTCTAAATTAACCTCGTTAATATTTTATCCTAACCTTCAATCTCCTTGCACATTATATTCTCCTGATACAAGATTTCTGACTTAACCTAACTAGCACTCTAACGTAACCTCACTAATATTTTATCCTAACCTTCAATCTCTTCGCACATTATGTACTCCTGATACAAGATTTCTGACCTAACCTAACTAGCACTCTAACCTAACCTCACTAATATTTTTTCCTAACCTTCAATCTCTTCGCACATTATGTACTCCTGATACAAGATTTCTGACCTAACCTAACTATCACTCTAAATTAACCTCGCTAATATTTTATCCTAACCTTCAATCTCCTTGCACATTATGTACCCCTGATACAAGATTTCTGACCTAACCTAACTATCACTCTAAATTAACCTCGCTAATATTTTATCCTAACCTTCAATCTCCTTGCACATTATATTCTCCTGATACAAGATTTCTGACTTAACCTAACTAGCACTCTAACCTAACCTCACTATTAGTTTATTCTAATCTTCAATCTCTTCGCACATTATGTACTCCTGATACAAGATTTCTGACCTAACCTAACTAGCACTTTAACCTAACCTCACTATTATTTTATCCTAACCTTCAATCTCTTCGCACATTATGTACTCCTGATACAAGATTTCTGACCTAACCTAACTATCACTCTAACCTAACCTCGCTAATATTTTATCCTAACCTTCAATCTCCTTCGCACATTATGTACTCCTGATACAAGATTTCTGACCTAACCTAACTAGCACTCTAACCTAACCTCACTAATATTTTATCCTAACCTTCAATCTCCTCGCACATTATATTCTCCTGATACAAGATTTCTGACCTAACCTAACTAGCACTCTAACCTAACCTCACTAATATTTTATCCTAACCTTCAATCTCCTTGCACATTATGTACTCCTGATACAAGATTTTTGACCTAACCTAACTAGCACTCTAACCTAACCTCACTAATATTTTATCCTAACCTTCAATCTCTTCGCACATTATATTCTCCTGATACAAGATTTCTGACCTAACCTAACTATCACTCTAACCTAACCTCACTAATATTTTATCCTAACCTTCAATCTCTTCGCACATTATGTACTCCTGATACAAGATTTCTGACCTAACCTAACTATCACTCTAAATTAACCTCGCTAATATTTTATCCTAACCTTCAATCTCCTTGCACATTATATTCTCCTGATACAAGATTTCTGACTTAACCTAACTAGCACTCTAACCTAACCTCACTAATATTTTATCCTAACCTTCAATCTCCTTGCACATTATGTACTCCCTGATACAAGATTTCTGACCTAACCTAACTATCACTCTAAATTAACCTCACTAATATTTTATCCTAACCTTCAATCTCTTGCACATTATATTCTCCTGATACAAGATTTCTGACTTAACCTAACTAGCACTCTAACCTAACCTCACTAATATTTTATCCTAACCTTCAATCTCTTCGCACATTATGTACTCCTGATACAAGATTTCTGACCTAACCTAACTATCACTCTAAATTAACCTCGCTAATATTTTATCCTAACCTTCAATCTCTTCGCACATTATGTACTACTGATACAAGATTTCTGACCTAACCTAACTATCACTCTAAATTAACCTCGCTAATATTTTATCCTAACCTTCAATCTCCTTGCACATTATATTCTCCCGATACAAGATTTCTGACTTAACCTAACTAGCACTCTAACCTAACCTCACTATTATTTTATCCTAACCTTCAATCTCTTCGCACATTATGTACTCCTGATACAAGATTTCTGACCTAACCTAACTATCACTCTAACCTAACCTCACTAATATTTTATCCTAACCTTCAATCTCTTCGCACATTATGTACTCCTGATACAAGATTTCTGACCTAACGTAACTATCACTCTAACCTAACCTCACTATTATTTTTTCCTATCCTTCAATCTCTTCGCACATTATGTACTCCTGATACAAGATTTTTGACCTAACCTAACTAGCACTCTAACCTAACCTCACTAATATTTTTTCCTATCCTTCAATCTCTTCGCACATTATATTCTCCTGATACAAGATTTCTGACCTAACCTAACTATCACTCTAACCTAACCTCACTAATATTTTATCCTAACCTTCAATCTCTTCACACATTATGTACTCCTGATACAAGATTTCTGACCTAACCTAACTATCACTCTAACCTAACCTCACTAATATTTTATCCTAACCTTCAATCTCCTCGCACATTATATTCTCCTGATACAAGATTTCTGACCTAACCTAACTAGCACTCTAACCTAACCTCACTAATATTTTATCCTAACCTTCAATCTCTTCACACATTATGTACTCCTGATACAAGATTTCTGACCTAACCTAACTAGCACTCTAAATTAACCTCGCTAATATTTTATCCTAACCTTCAATCTCCTTGCACATTATATTCTCCTGATACAAGATTTCTGACCTAACCTAACTAGCACTCTAACCTAACCTCACTATTATTTTATCCTATCCTTCAATCTCTTCGCACATTATATTCTCCTGATACAAGATTTTTGACCTAACCTAACTATCACTCTAACCTAACCTCACTAATATTTTATCCTAACCTTCAATCTCTTCGCACATTATGTACTCCTGATACAAGATTTCTGACCTAACCTAACTATCACTCTAAATTAACCTCGCTAATATTTTATCCTAACCTTCAATCTCTTCGCACATTATGTACTCCTGATACAAGATTTCTGACCTAACCTAACTAGCACTCTAACCTAACCTAACTAATATTTTATCCTAACCTTCAATCTCTTCGCACATTATGTACTCCTGATACAAGATTTCTGACCTAACCTAACTATCACTCTAAATTAACCTCGCTAATATTTTATCCTAACCTTAAATCTCCTTGCACATTATATTCTCCTGATACAAGATTTCTGACCTAACCTAACTATCACTCTAACCTAACCTCACTAATATTTTATCATAACCTTCAATCTCTTCGCACATTATGTACTCCTGATACAAGATTTCTGACCTAACCTAACTATCACTCTAAATTAACCTCGCTAATATTTTATCCTAACCTTCAATATCCTTGCACATTATATTCTGCTGATACAAGATTTCTGACCTAACCTAACTAGCACTCTAACCTAACCTCACTAATATTTTTTCCTATCCTTCAATCTCTTCGCACATTATGTACTCCTGATACAAGATTTTTGACCTAACCTAACTAGCACTCTAACCTAACCTCACTAATATTTTATCCTAACCTTCAATCTCTTCGCACATTATATTCTCCTGATACAAGAT